ACTTGTACCCACATTGAAAACTGGCATATTACATTCGACAGGTAAGGTCGCGCGCAACTATAACTTGCAATCTGTCATGCTTCGTAGTTTTTAGTAATGCTGAAAAATACGGCATGAAAAGTTCGAAGGAACTGTAGCCAAAAATATGTCACTATTTATAACCATGTTGTTTCTTCGGTTCATCACTGGCACCGATATTTACTGCGGCTCGTTCGTTCAGCGCTAGTTGTTTTTTTTGCGTTTTTTGCATGTTTACAATACAAAAATGCATACTGTTGAGAGGTTCTCTGTGTGTATCTGTTTGTGCGTGTTTGTGTCTGCCTGTGTATTCGTCTGTATCGTTTTTTCATTTCAAAAGCCGCAGGACTGGAACTTTGAGAACTTGATCTACATGCATGTACGGGTCCTCCTGTCCAAAACGGGCGCTCTTATCCGCGTGATACCCACACACGGACTCGTCAAAATTTTTAGCGGGCAAGCTGTTAACTCGGGAATTGAAAGAGCTAGAAAGCTGAAATTTTAAAGGGATTTTCCTCGTTCGCGTAGAGCTTAATGATTTCAAATTCAACCCCCAGGTACTCCTGGTCCCCAAGTATATGCCCGTGAAGCTTTTTTACAGGTAAATTGCTAACCCGGGAACCGGAAAAGATAGAACGCCAGAATTTGAAGGGGATGATCTCCGTTGAATTGTAATTGATGGGTTCAAACCCAGCCCCAAGTATACGTGTTTCGCACGTACTGGCTTGTGAAAGTTTTTTGCTGGTAAGTTGCTGACTCAGGAACCTGAAAAGCTAGAAAGATGGAATTTTAAGGGGAAGTTTCCTGACAGTCCTGACGGCCAGTTTCGATTTTTTTAGCTAGAAGCATCTGTAGAAAAAAACCGATGCTATGATGCGCTGACCAATTATCTTATGTTAAGAACGTGTCTTAGGTGAATCTGCTGCGGAAAAATGCCGATAAACGAATGGAATCGATGTACGGCATCAGGAAAAGTGGAACCGATGAGGGTGGGGATGATGTTCAGATTGCGGGTCCGTCGGGCCATGTCAATTTTTTTGCTGATTTGGAAGCGGAAGACCGCAAGAATTTGGGCACGGGAAATCGTGAGTACGAACTGGAGAAGCGAAAAGAGAAGGAAGATTATGAGAAGAAAATCGGTATCCTGCAGTATCTTGGTCAGGGTTCCAGCGAACTGACAAAAGTTTGTTCTTTTTTTTTCGCAACAATACAGCGAAACAGTTTGTTAGACTTTTTGAGAACTCTATTTTGAGAACTCAATTTTGAGAAATTCATGCATATTTGTGTACATATATATATACTATATATACATTATATGTATTATGCATATATACATCATATATACATTACATATGTATATATATATATGTGTTTATGAAGTCGCGCACATTCCTATTCAGCACCACAACTAGATTTTCCAGTGTAACGGTTTTTGAATGTTGCGATCGAATAAGCCAGAGGGCTGAATCTCTAAGCAGTGATTCATTTTTTGTCTGTAAACGCGAAATCGTGAAAGAACTGGTATACCCGGAATAGCTGTTAATTCAAACTGTGATTCTTCACTTGTGCAGCAGGCAACTTTTCGAAGCTGCTTTGATCACTGCTGCATCATCTGATGGTCATCATTCTCCTGGAGTTTTGTATCATCATTTGAAGGGATTGATTATCAGCTCAGCAGTTTTCCCAGTACGAATTATTTTGCAAAACTTTAACCGTTCTGATGCTCATTGTGTGTGTTCAGCACTGTATGCGAGTGTGGTCTGCTCTGCTTCTAGATGATTAGGTAGCTCATCAGCAAGAACAGCAACAGAATGTGCTGGTCAAATTGAGCAGCCTTGCCGTGGAGTCTAGGTATGTACATAGCTGTTTATTCTTGTATGCTTTATTTCTAGGTGAAGCCATGGTACGAAAAGGCCCCAGAGAAGAAGAAGGGTTCTGATATTTCCGTAAGCTTGGAAAATACGACGTCAAAAATAGAAATCATAAGGAAACGTATCAAGGACGCGGACAGCAAGAAGCATAAGAAACATAAAAAGCACAAACATGGCGCAGCGGAGCGGCATCGCAAAATGAGTGAAAAAAAGAGACGAAGACATCATAGTTCTTCAGAAAGTTTACTCAATGAGGAATTAGTGGTTGTAGAAGAAGCTGCGAAAAAGCAAAAGTTGGAAAAATTGAGGCAAGAGCGGCTGGAAAGAGAAGCAAAAGAGAGAAAGCGTTTAGCAGAGCTCTTGACGCCGGCCGAAAATAGGGCGAATGAGGCGAAGTTGGCGCCGAAGTACAATTCACAGTTCAATCCTGAACTAGCAAGACAGAACCGACCTCGTTGATTTGTTGCTCCTGTGTTTATTTTCATCGTTTTTCCCTGTCTAATAAATTGAAATATTGTATAATAGAAATTTTTCATGGGCCGTGCACTGAAAAATCTAATGCTGAGAGGCACCAAGGTGCGGAACGTGTGTCTCCAGTTTGCAGCACTACAGTAATTGTCTCTGTAGGTGCGTAAACTGCATTGTGAATCAATGTGGAACACTTCCTGCACACTGCAATGAAGCGCAGATTGCTAGCTGACCTGCACATCGATTTCTCATCCTGCTGACGTCATACGTACACTGTTATTTGTGTTCAGGAACTTGCCTTCTCAGTAATTAATTACGGCGGGTGACTTTCCCGATAAAGTCCCTTTTGATTTGTACAGCCTTGAAGGCATTCATTAATATTAGGTCCCAAAATATGCGTTGCAATCTTCGAGCCATTCATTTCGTCATTTTTCGCGGTCCTAACAACGTGCGTTTTTGCAAAATGCAAATGCGACCCAGGCTGGAACACCAGGCGGGCTGGTGCGATTATGTGTTTTTGCACTTTTCGTACTGTAGCAGGATCGCAAGGAATCGCAGCCTGTCGGAGTATTCAGTGAGTTCATGTGTGTCTGTGTAGTTGACAACCAAGCAAGCTCTGGCGCAAAAATTTTGCAAGTAGGTCCATCGGCCACGTGTCACCCCTCACCTACACCCGGGTCCCATGTGCGGCTCCGTGTGACTTTTTGGCGGAAAAACTACCAACTCGGGACCAGAAAGGCTGAGAGGCTGAAGTTTTTAGTGGATGTGCCTGGCTCCCGCACAATTTAAAGATATCAAATTCAGCCCTAGGATTGCGTGGTTCTTACGTACAACCCCATGGAAATTTTTGGCTGGTTAATCTCTATCTCAAGAAACGGAGAAACTGAGGCATTGGGGGGATGTTCGCAACCCATGCGCAACTTGATGATTTCAAATGTGCCTACAGCTATGCGCGATTCTCATGTACGGCCCAGTGAAAGTTATTGGCAGGAAAATTGGTAACTCGGTAACCAGAAAAG